CTTTAAGACTGGCAGAGTAAAAACTGATACAGCTCAGCCCTGAATCCTGGCACTGCTCAGAGGATTTACTGAAAAAAAAAAAAAAATCAGACAAGCAGGCCTTATTTTAAAAACTACAAACCTCTTTCATAAAACCTGACTTGTGTTTCCTGTTCTTAGTGGATTCAGGTTAAACAGAATCTATCAGACTGAGTGTTTGTTGAGGTTTATAAAGAAGCTGCTGCAGTTCTCTTCCTGAACACAAGGTGGTGCTAATTAGCAAAAAAAACACTCAAAGAACTCATTTAAAAAAATAAAATCAAAGATTTATTCTTTATAGACAAACACAAATACACTTATTTAAATGTTCATGTTTCGTAGAGTTTGTCTTTAAAAACTAAGCAGGTGTTTATTCAGATTAGATTCAGTAGAAAACCTTGACTCCAGCTGCTCCTCGTGAACCCGACTCTGAACAAACAGAAGACACTGATGGATCAGTGCATCTAGATTTAACCCCAGAACCTGCATCAGTTCCTGCTTGCTTTAGCAGAATCAGTCATTTAGTACACCTGCACGTCTGAATTAGTTACTTTTCACATCCCTCGTGTTCATTTCTCAGATTTCCTTCGTTCGTWTTAAAGGTTTTCAGTTGTCTTTACTTCCTGCAGACAGGACATGTATAACCTCGTCTGAGACAGGTTTAAGTATTTTGTTTTCCAGAAGTAATTTTCCTGTTCTTCCATCCTTGTGTTCAGAGGTYGAGCAGCTGTTTGTGAACCCACCTTCTTTAAATGACCTCCTCCCACTCCTTTGAAGGGAGGATGGTTGACTCTGTTGTTCCAGTCCACCGGCACCTTAATCTTCTCATACAGCTGCAGGATCACCATGGCATCCTGCAGGTCCCTGCAGACACAAACAGCTGTGTTGTACTCCAGCAGCAGCTCAGACTGAACCGGACACACAGCAGATCACTGACCCGTAGATGTGGTGGACGTGAGGATTGACGCCCAGAGAGTTCATCCAGTTCCTGAAAGTCCTCTCCTCCCTCGTCTCACCTGAGGTTAAAAATATTTTWAAACTAAAGGCAAGAAGGAAACACTGAGACAGTTGAACCATCAGGACTCACTCTCCAGGATCCAGTCCTGGTTCTCTGGTTTGGTGAGAGCTGGGTGTTTGTTGAAGAGCGTCGCCACGAAGGCCAGGTTCAGCTTGGCGTTTCCTGTGGCGATATCTGTGGCGGTGACAAACTGTCTGCAGCCCAGCCGCTCGGCCTGCTGCAGCAGACACTCTGCTCTCTTTCTGAGATCCTTCTCCTGAGGACACACACACACACACACACACACACACACACACACACA